AAGTGTTCAATTCAATTCTGTGGGTTTTGGCAAAATAATAGTTGTGCAATAATTACTACCACCTAATTTTAAACCCTTTCCCCAAAAGAAACTGCATACCTATTAGCAGTTTCCCCATTCTCCCTTTACCCTCAGCACTTGGCAAGCACTAATCTGCTTCCTGTCTCCATGGGGCTACCTATTCTGGACATTTCACAGAAATGGACTCATGGGATATATGGCCTTTTGTCACTAGCTTCTTTCACTTAGTGTCAGGTTTTCAAGGGTCATCCATATTGTAGCTTAGAACAACACTTTCTTCTTCTTATACTCACGTAATGTAACACTGGATGGGTATACCACAGTTTTTCTTCATTCTTCAGCTTGTTGGTATATGGGTTGTTTTTGCTTTTTGACTACTATGAATAATGCTGAATAAATTTTCATATAGATGTATGTTTTTAAGGGCCACCGAACTATTTTTCTAAAGTGGCTGCAACATTTTACAATCTCACAAGCAATGTCAGAAGGTTCCAGCTTCTCCATGTTCTCACCAAGACTTGCTGGAGTCTGCCTTGTCATTTTATCATTCCTGCGGAGGTGAAGGGGCATCTCTTCATGGTTTTAATTTGAATCTCCCCAGTGATGTATTGTGTCGGTCCTGTTTTCATGCACTTTTTGGCCATTTCTATTTTCGTTGATAAAAATATGTATTCAGATCCTTTGCCTAGTTTTCACTGGGGTGTTTTTTAAAATTTTTGAGTTATCTTTTGTATATTCTGCATATGAATGCCTCCTCAGGTGCATGATTTGCAGATTTTTTTTCTCATTATATAGATTGTCATACCAGCTTTTTGACAGTTTTATTTGGAGCATAAAACTTAAATTAGACTTCTATGCCTAATTCAATGCCATGAGGATTTACTTCTGTGTTTTCCTCTAAGAGTTTTACAGTTTTAGCTCTTATATTTAGATTTGTGATCCATTTTGAGTTGATTTTTAATAAATGAGGTCTGAGGTAGACATTCATACTCAATTTTTTGCTTTTGGATATCTAGGTGTCCCAAGATTATTTATTCTAGAGGTTACCCTTTTCTCTTTGGAATATATTGGCACCCATGCCAAAATCCCATTGCCCGTAACTGTAATAGTTTCTTTCTGGACTCTGGACACTGGACCCAATTTTATTCCATTGGCCTAAATATTTATTCTTCTGCCAGTAAAACATTGTCTTGATTACCATAGCTTTTTAGTGAGCCTTAAAATTAAGACGCTTCAGATCTCCAAGTGTATTTTTTCTAATTCTTTTATTCATGTTTTCATACTTTTTCTTTGGTTAAGAATGTTGAGCTCTACCATAGATTTCCACATGTGTTCCCAGAGAGAAAGCAACAGTAATACCAAAGCATAGCCCCTAGGAAATCATCCTGGTTTTAGGTTGCAAAGGTGACAGTAAAAACTTTGGGAAAACAATTGCTTCACATCATTAGGAGTGTAATTTTCATCATTCCATTCACTGTAAGGAATAGAACCTAAAGCAAACTGTCTTCAAGTCTCCAAAAACTATAGTTTCCCCCAAATGGGAATCTCTTAAATCTGAACCTGTTCCATTCATGTAGAATTACCCAATTTAACCAATTCACTTATAAGCAAATGTTTTACCATTTGCACTGAGGAGTTCAGTGGACTGATTGAGTTATTCAGCTGAGATACACGCATGTTATTTTCATTAACCCTCTCTATACAACAATTGCATTGCTACCTTAGCTCATAGAAAAGTTATAGTTTATAGACCTCAAAGGTCAGTGAGTCATCAGCAATACATGTATGCAGGGCTAGTTTCTTCAACATTTCTTAAGCATTTTAATGGCTGTTCAGTAGACAACTTCAAATGGAAAATATTCAAGAGGAATTTAAGAGCCAGTCTCACAAAAGCTTGAAAGTCCTGTGAAATTCAATGATGTATGTATAAAAAAATGCCGGTGTGGAAACTAGGAAACTAAGAAGTCTAGTAAATCACACCTATCATCACAGGTTACAAGACCACAGAACATTTTGTATTCTGTTAAGATCAGATCACATTTTAGTTTTTAATACCTTAGTAATAATTACTTGGAATCATTGAATTTAATTCATCCATAAATTTCTATGTAGGTAGTAAATCAGATACTATAATTAAAGACTTCTAATTATTACAACATTGAAAAATACGTGTAACACAAACTATATAGTTATCAAGTTTCTCAAAATGCTACCACTTTCCATCACCAAGAAGCTTAAGTAAAATGTTCCTGTTGACTTCGCTGATTTTTTTCAGGTGAAGAGCGCATTGTGATGTAATTCTTAATAAAATTATCTAGAGTATTTCAGTTCCAGTGATAAATATCTGTCCAAGAGTTAGTCTTAAGTATTCGAAGTGGGCGCGTTGTCATGCCTGCTCATCGCTTACGAAGGCTCTGTGTCGCATGAGCTGGGTTTAGGGCATCCGCAAACACAAAATTTACCTGAATCTGCGCCATCATCGCTCATTAGCTTCATTACATTGCAAGCGGGACAGATTATAAAGACACCGACTGCGGGTGCCCTGGAGCAGAATCGGAGCAGATTGGCCAGCAGGACTTGCCAGAATGCCCGGCGCGCAACATGTCACTTCAGTTTCTGTGACAGAAATTGGTCTTGGTCAATTGCTAATGGAAAGATGTATCAAAACCGATGATCAGTGGTTTCCGGTTAGATTTATGATACAAATCATGTGCTGCTGTTTGCAACAACTAACATGCTTTTCTACTCTTGTCTTTGTTTCATTTTGTTTTCCTTTTTTTTTTTTTGGATGATAGAAATTAGTATTTTTCAGGAATCGCCCCTTCTTTTTAGCTGAAGTCATTGCCTCCATACCACCAAGCCTTAAGACTATAGCTGGGAACCTGTTATAGTGCCAGCCTGACCAGATTATAAGATAGAGTTGCAATATATTTTTCTTGAATCGTAAATTTTTGGCAATCCACTCAGATTCTAGGCCGACTGTCTGGGGCCTTACCAGAGTAGCAATAGGAATAAAGCAATTATTCTGTACTCATGGTAAATATTGAACTGGATTTATCTGGCATATAAATGTAGAATGCTGCTGATATAGAACTTTAAAAATTATGCTCTACTTTCTTGGCAAAATTTTTTAACACAGTGGAAGGACATCTGTTGCTTTAGCCTATCCAGCATCCATTTATTCTTTTTGTAAAAAACATGAAAATACTATTCCAAGCACATGAAATCGATGGATGAACAAAGTGTTTATTCCTTAAGCATGGAACTTGCATGCCAGTGGAGAAAGATCAGGACAGTTCATACATAAATCACATGGCTGTCAGAAAGAACATATATCAGTGTTCTTGTTTAGGGTGCCAAATACAGCATTAAATATGGTATTGGCCTCCCATGTGAGTAAGTACATAAAAGATGTGAGAGAAAATGAATCGTTTAGTTATCTGGGGAGAGCTACAGCCTGAAAACGACTACTATGATGTCGTTGGACCAAGTGATGAAGGTAAGTGGCAGGTAGGATGGAGCACCGAAGGGAAACGCCATGCGTCTTCCCACAGCATGTTCCGAGGGCCGGCAGCATCAGCACCACCCAGGAACCTGGCGACGTGACATGCACTTGAGCCCCACCTGAGACCAACTGAATCACCATTTGCACCTTGGGCAGTTTTCACAGCACTTCAACTATACTTAAAATTAGTTTAAAAATACATTTATCTTTTACTGTAAATTTTATAAAGTCTTGGCACAGATTTAGAAAATATTAGGCTCTAAAAAGCTCCAGTATTTTGCTATTTTTTAAAATAATTTTACATAAGAAATGTTATGCAGTACTCACAATGTTGTAAGGAAATTTTTTAAACTTGAGTGACATAAAGTAGCGTGAAGAAAGCTAAATAAACATTTTAGTGTCTGCAGAATGTTCTATTAGAGTGATGCACTGTAATTAAATATAATCCTTTTAGTAACCATTAAGGTCAGATTGACTTTTTCATGATCATACTAAAAAAATGTACATAGGAGCTTGTATGTGTTTCTGATATTTTTTTTCAGACATTTCAATACACAAGGAGTGAAAAAACATGAATGTTAAGACTTTTGGATACATGTCCAAGATGCATTGCCAAATTTATATTCTCTGATTACTCCACTTTTGAGTATAATAAGATAACTTTTACTTATTTAAGTGTTACAGTCTGTTCAAATTCTAAAGCTTTTCAGTAGTTAAAACAGAATATCCTTTAAATATGTACCAGTACCTGTCTATGAGAAAGCTTTTCAAGGAGTTATCATATACCCCATATTTGTATACATATATTAAAATAAAAAATGATAGCATAAAAGCCAAAAATTTACAATCGAAAAAAATGGTAAAAATATCATTATTCATAACTAAATCACTTAGGAGCTATCCTTGGAATTGACACTGTAGCGCCAAATAAGTGTGGTTTTTTTTTAAAGTAGATATTTAGGAAAGAAGATGAAAATGCAAAATAAGAGGAGTTTCTAGAAAAATGTTGGTCAAACATTATTTTTAGCCTATCACTTTATTGTTCTAATTTTGTCTTGATCATATTGCTTAAATGTGCACTTCTAGGCATGTGATGGTGTGTATGAAGCAAGGGCTGAAGGAGCACCATGCAGACAGGCACACGCTATGGCCACTCACGAGGCTTGTGACATTCCCAGAATCATGGCAATAATGAGCACACATTCCAGGACTGGGACCGAGGCCGAAGAGCAGGTTGAAACGGGGGGAGAGCGCCGAGGCAGAGAAGAAGCTGTCAAATATTCGAGAGTCCACGTAGATGTTCATTTTGCATTAATTCTATCATGGAAAGATAAATGAATATTGCCATATATTCATGCACATATACACAAGAAGCTTATGCATAATAAGAACGTGCCATGCAAAACATAGACCTTGTTTTTAAAAGGATTTTCTTGGTCATTTTTAAGTCAAGCATTTTCTCCTTTGTTTTCAGCTCGATGATGCCCTAAATCAGATCCGTAAGCTCCAGAGGTTGCTGGATGACCAGAAAGAAGCAAATGAAAACTTGGAAACAGAACTCAAGCACTTACAAAACCGGTAATTATCACACACACACACACACACACACACACACACACACATTGTTCAATTCAAGATTGGGAAGTTAGGCAAGAAAATCTTGGTATTGTTTTTCATATTTTTCTTAAATATCGGTATCATTATTTTCATTAACTAAAATATTAATGAAAGAAGCTTCTAACTCTTACTATTTTTTGCCTAGTAGATGTTATATATTATGTTAAAGAAATTTGAGTATTTAAAAATGACTTTGATTTTAAAAGGCGTGGATTTTCTTTTTTGAAAATAGTTTATTGTTTATGCGATTACAGTCATCCCAATTTTCTCTCCCCACCCCCCTCCACCCAGCCCTCCCCCCGCTTCCATAATCGACCCCCACACCATTGTCCATGCCCCATGGGTCCTTCATGGATGTTCTTCAACTAACCCCTTCACTGCCTTCAGTCGGTCCCCAGCGCCCCCTCCCTTCCGACAGCTGTCAGTCTGTTCCCTGTTTCCATGCCCTGGGCTCTGTTTTGCTCATTAGTTTATTTTGTTCATTAGATTCCTCTTATAAGCAAGATCATATGGTATATGCCTGGAAAATCCCATAACACCAATTCAGAAGAATTTATGCACCCCATATTCATAGCAGCGCTATTTGCAATAGCCAAGATTTGGAAACAGCCTATGTGCCCTTCAGTAAATGGATGGATAAATGAAACTGTGGTATATATACACAATGAGGTATGCAGCAGAAGGAAAGAAGGAACTCCTATCTTGTGCAACAATATCGATGGAACTAGAGACTACAATGCTAAGTGAATAATAAAAGATGTAGAATTTCTGAAAGGCAGAAGGTGCTTCCAGAATACATAAAGCAGAAAGAATTATAATACATGCAAGAAAAAATAAGTCGTAAACCATACAATTTGTTGGGTAGTTGATAAAAGACGCAGTTTATTAAGTAAAAGTAATGGTTTATTAATTGATAGGCATGGGCATATGTCTTTTTTATGGATGTGGTAGGGGTGACATGTTGTGTGAAAAATGTTTTCACCCTAGAGAGGTGACAATAAATGTGGTCTAATTCTTGATACAAAGCAAAAGTGTGCAGAGGTGTCAATGTGATTTGTACTATATGGACAAGGTGAGATTTGCACTCTAATTTATACTAATATCCCCAGAAAAGTAATTGATTTTCTGTAATTGAAGCCAAGAAAAAGCAGTAAGTGCCTCGCAGAAACTGAAAAGGCTTTTGCCTTTGTCTGGGTAGACATTTGGTAGTAAAGCCACAGAAGAGCCCACAGCATTGGAAAGTATTATCCAGGTATAAATCAGGCTGAAATAAAGCTGTGATTTCCTTCTGAGTTGAATGAACAAAGCCAAGTATAAACTTGTACTTAGAGGAATATTTCCTTAAGACCTTTTGATATAGTATAGAATACTGCTTCATATTTAAGTTTAGTTTTTAAGATAAAGAAACTAATATTAAAAAGACTCTACGTAAACTTACAAAGTTATTTCCAAATGAAACCAATCTGTAAAATTTAATTCAGTTAAAAATATGACTGGTCTTCCTCATCCCTCTCCCCATTAATTAGTGGGAAAATGAAAACTTACTAACTGATTAGTGAATAAAGCTTACTTTTATACAATTAATTGGCTTGTCTCTTTCTAAAAGTCTCTGTCATCCACTGAGCCTTTCTGACTGCCCCGTGTCTTTCTCTCACTTGGAGGAAGGTCTGCCTCGCGGGGAGGGGCACACAGAGCCCAGCCGCTGGCCTTGCCCTGGCCCCTGCCTGTGTGCTGCAGAGGGCGTGCTGGCCTGTGTGGTTAACGTCTGATCTACGTTTCCATGACGAAGCGGGACTCGCTTCCTTTTGTTTGACATTCCTCTTGTGAACTGGTTCCATCTTGACTGTTTCTGATGTAGCCTCTGTTGTCTCCCATCCCATCCGCTACAAACCACCTGACGGAGGGGCGCACCCATCTGGAACCTTCAGTGTGGACTCTGGGAGGGGCTCTCATCTCAGCCATGAACGAGCACGGAGTGCAGCTCTGAAAAGGTCAATGCCCCCTCCTCCGGCTGACCGTGAGGCTCTGCTTTTCTGTGCCCATGCCACACACTGGTGTGGGGGCAATGAGAGGCCTCCTTCCCAAGATCCCAAATACAGGTGGAAAACAAGAGTCTCCCTGCACCCGGTCCTAACTTACCTTTTGTACCAATTCCTTCCACACAATCCATCTCCAGACCAAAGCACATAAAAGGGAAATTAAAAACTCTCCTGGAAAGTTTATTCTTCCCACAATCCCAGAGCCAAAAAGAAGTGGCTATTCATCTTCTCATTGTGTCATGTCCTATATGTACCATGTCCACTCTAGAGCTAGACTATTGTGTTAAGCATATTGAACATATTATCTTGATATTGACTCTTGTTGTAGGTACCACAGACAAGGCTACTATTCATTCTTGATCCTTCCATATGTTGATTCATTTAATCCTCATAAGACTCTGTGCTGGGGCCTATTGTTTTCCTAACCCAAAAGAGGAAATTGAGGCACAGCAGGTTAAGTGAACGGGCTGTGGAAGAAAGCACTGGAAGAGGGCTAAGCCTCACTCAGGAATGGAATTTGCTTAGTGGATCTTTGATTTGTACAGATAATGGTTTAAGACTGTTCTTTGCTTCAATGATTTCCCTATTAAATGATGGAGACAAAAACATTGTTTTTAGTTATATTTCGCTATATAGCAAATTATACCAAATATTAGTAGCCAATGACCAATGATTCTTACTATTCAAGATTCTGTAGGTTGACTGTGCTTGAAAAGTTGGCTCTCCCCCTGTGTGTGATATTGGCATTGGCTTGGTCACTTTTGAGCTTACATTCAACTCAGAGTTTGGCACTGGGAAGTCAAAGGTGGCCTTACTCAGATGTCTGTGTCCTGGAGCTTTTTCTGCATGTGGTTAGTTTCTCATCACTGAGTAGTGCAGTCTGTGCTTCTGAAATGGTAGCTGGTTCCCAAGAGGGTAAAGTGGATTTTAGCTTTAGCCTCTGGATCCCTGCTGGCCCTCTTAGCCACTCTTCCTTCAAAATAAGTGGTCACACTCCAAAGCCAGACAAAGACACTACAAAAAAGAGAATTATAGGCTGACATCCCTGATGGACACAGATGTAGAAATCCTCAACAAAATATCAGCAAACTGAATTCAGCAATACATGAAAAAGATCATGCACCACTGTCAAGTGTGCTTTATTCCTGGGATGCAAGGTTGGTTCAGTATCTGCAAATCAACTAACATGACACACCACATAAATAAAACATAGGGCAAAAATCATATGATCCTATCAACAGATGCAGAAAAGGTGTTTGACAAAATCCAACATCCATTATGATAAAAAGAACTCTCAGCAAAGTGGGAGAAAGGATGCACACCTTAACATAGTAAAGGCTATATATGATAAATCCACAGCTGACATACTCCGTAGTGAAAGCTGAAAACCTTCTTTTTTCTAAGATCAAGAATAAGACAAAGATATCCACTTTTACCACAGTTAATCAACATAGTATTGGAAGTCCTAGCCAAAGAAATCAGATAAGAAAAAGCAATGAAGGCATCCAAATTGGAAAGGAATAAGTAAAACTATCATTATTTGCAGATGACATAATACTATAGAGAATCTTAAAAATTCTACCCAAAAACTATTAGAACTGATCAATGAATTCAGTAAAGTAGCAACATGCAAAATTAATATTTAGATATCAGTAGATTGCAAACTATCAGAAAGAGAAGTTAAGAAAACAATCCCATTTACAGTTACATGAAAAAGAATAAAGTACCGAGGAATGAATTTAATCAAGGAGGTAAAAGACCTCTACTGTGAAAACTGTGAGACATTGAAGAAAGAAACTGAAGAAGAGTCAAATACATGAAAGGACATGTTGTGCTCAAGGATAGGAGGAATTAACATCATTAAAGTATCCTTACTATGAAAAGCAATCTACCAATTCAATGCAAGCCCTATCAAAATACCAATACTATTTTTCACAGACAAAGAATAAATTAATCCTAAAATTTTTTTGGAACCATAAAAGATTCTGAAAAACACAAAAAGATTTAAGAAAACACAAAGTGGGAAGTATCATACTACCTGATATTGAACTATACTATTAATACAAGGCTATAGTAATCGAAACAGCATGGTACTGGCATAGAAACAGACACATAAATCAATGGAACAGAATAGAGAACTCACAAATAAACCCTCACCTATATGGTCAATTAACCTATGACAAAAGAGGCAAGAGCATATAATGGGGTAAAGACAATTTATTCAATAAATGGTGTTGGGGAAACGGGACAAATACATGGCAAAAAATAAAATGACCACTTTGTTATACCATATACAAGAATAAACTCAAAATGGATTAAAGACAAATATAAAACCCAAAACCATAAAATTTCTAGAAGCAAACATAGGCAGTAAACTCTTTGAGATCACTCTTCACAATATTTTTGGATATGTCTCCACAGACAAGGGAAACAAAAGAAAAAAATAAGTGGGACTATGTCAGACACAAGTTTTTGCACAATGAAGGAGGCCAAAAAAACAAAAGGACAACCTACTGAAGGGAAAAAGATATTTGCCAATGATACATCTGATAAGAGGTTAATATTCAAAATACGTGAGGAGATCCTTCAACATAACACCAAAAAACCCCAATATGATTAAAAAATGGGCAGAGGACCTGAACAGACATTTCTCCAAAGAGGACCTACACATGGTCAATAGACATATGAAAAGATGCTCAACATCACTGATTATCAGGGAATGTAAGCATAGTTTATATTGAACAACCTAAAAAAAGATTTGCAGTAGGGAAATTTAATATTTTATTGCAATGCCACAGATTTATGTAAAATGTGAAGAAATATATACAGAAAATTGTTTTGCCATTGGTGATTGTCATGTTTTTAATAATGCCTATCTTACAACTTGACTCTTACAGAGATTAATAAAAGTCTACAGCAGAAAGGAGCTGTTAGACAGTTGATTTTTAAGCAGGCTGTTG